AAGGAGAGGAAGAGGAAAAAACAATCCGGCTAGGAGGAAAATATTTTATATTAGACATATTCTTTTTCTGTGAGTTTCTGCTTATATAGTCCTCGACTCACATGCCTGACGGGGCTGTTCCCTCATTTATGGCTCTGACACGGCCCTCTCGCGTCTCTTTCTTTGCTTCTTCCGAAGCCCAGCAAGCATCCTCTTTTGTTTGGATCCCATTCCATTTATGATTCATGCTCAGTTCACCCCTTGGCTAGCTAGCTTCCACAATATTAGGGCACCACTTTTCTAGCTTGTGCTCTCTCTCCTTGTTTCTGATGAGTCCATGAAGCCATCCATGCACGCAGCAGGAGCATGGCTGTTCCATGACGCCAGGATTTACTTGAATAAGATAAGAGGAGGGTTCGTTAACTTTGGGATTTGAAGCATCATCTTTTACCATCTCCGCTCTCACAAAGTTCTACGTCGCAACCACACCAGTAGAAAAGAAGGGAGCGCACAGGCCAAAAAGGAGAGGCCAATCTGGGTTTAGAGGCCAAAATAACGCCAGTGTACTATTGTTTTTGATTCATAAGGCTCGCATAGAATGTTGGTTTAGACGCCAAAAGTAGAAAAGAAAAGAGGATAGTGTCTGGGTTTTGGTTGCAGCGTAGTCAACTATGGGAACAAACACACGGCTCGAGGATCACGCACCCTCGCACAATTATTTCAAGTCGCCACTCTCCCTCCTCATTTACTTTTCACCCTCTCTTGTTGTTCTCTACCCTATGGATTCCTTATCCCATGTCCTAATCATTTTTTTCTCTTATCTGAAAAATAAATAATAATAATAAGTCACATAGATTCTATGGTTTCGTTGAGGGGGAAAAAAATACCGTAGCCTTAAACAAAACACTGCTGTTTAAGTTGTGCGCATAGATCAGATTAGGGAGTCTTTAATTAGTGCAAAATATGCTCTTCGATTCTTAACATAAAATCTATTTTGTACATAAATCTATTTTGTATACAATTTATATTACAAAATAAATTTTATATAAGACTAAAGAATTTTATACATCAAATAATTAATAAAACACCCTCACTCGAGTAAAACGAAAAAAATTACATAAAAAGATAGAGAGAGAAAGATTATAGGTGAAATTAAACAAAATGTCATGAGAAAGATATAGTTATATTATTAAATGGCAATATATAAATGTCGCATTAGCAAGGGGAAAAGTTACTCGGCTTTGTGCTTTCAAACGATGTATGTTTTGAAACAAAACAAAAGGTCTAAAAGACAGCAACAGATATAGAATGGAAGAATTAGCTCGGAAAATCAAGATTGAACGAAGCATACACTTTTAACCCTAATTATAAGTTACTTTTAATATTTTTTTACACAAATTAAAAAAAAATCTTAAATTTTATTAAGTCTTTTTTAAATTCAACAATTTTTTAATTTTATTCTTATTTAATGTAGATCATACCTCATATAAATAAAGCAATATAATAATAAATAAATGATAAAATTATACATTTATATAAAAAATTTCTCTCTCTGCTTTATAAATAAAACTAAAAAATTTCTTTTTTTTCTACCTTATAAATAAAACTAGAGAAGTATATTAATTAATTCAATAATTCTTTTCCTGCCAAACCAAATGTTTTTCTAGCGGGATCTAATTATGAAATCTTATAAAATAACTTCAATATGAGATGGAGGACATAAAAATCATAAGTTAACTGCAATATGATTACTAATCCCTAAAAAAATGAAATAGAAGAATCAATAATTATGATAATAACCTGAAAATGAGATTAAAATTAATACCTTTGTCTACGTGATAATTAATTAGAGATAAAATGTACATTCAAAAAAAAAAAATAATAATATTTCTTATAAATAAGACCTTTAATCTCGCTTATAAAGGAAACGAAGGGGCCAACTGAGATAATGTGCATTCATATAATGATGTTTACAAGACCCAATAGCAACTGAGAATGAAGTTGGATATAGCCACTTTTTTATTTTTCAACATGATATGGCTTCTCATTTGGGAGTTCTTAAATCTGTAACTTGAAATAAAATAAAACTATCTTGTAAACAAAAAAAATAATAATAATAAAACTCTCTCTCATCAACCTTTTCATTTCCTTTCATCTAATCTAACCCAAACATTTAGACGATGTTTGATTCATAAGTGGAAATGAACAATAAATTTATTCACGCAACCTCTATTTTTTTGTTATTGATCATATAAATATTATGTTTCCATATTTCCATGGATTCTGTATCCAAGAGTTCTGAGAAAGTTCTAAAAAGTAGAACTAGTTTCGTCAAGCATAAACAGAATCGAATTGAAACAAAACAAATTGAAATCGAGTAAATTTAATAATAGGATAAGACTTAATAACCAATAAATATAGACATCGTACGTACGATCGAAATCCAACGAAAAGGTAAGGGGGCCAAGCGCCGATGCTACAAGGCCACCATCTCCATTATATTGCCATAATAATAATAATTTAATAATCATAAGCGTCTCCCACTTCTTGAGTCCCTTTGATAAATATATTACATTTATATTCCTCGAAATTTAATTCAGCCATACGAGAACCACAAATCCAAGTATTCATACATTTTAGTTGACTAGTATATAATTATGGCGACAACTTTTTATGCCTTCCATTTGTAGAGTGTACAAAAACTCGATAGTCGGTATACTCTACTTCAACCATAATGGTCTAGTCCTATCCAATTCAGTCTAAATAAATTATATAATAAAATTAGACCAGGCTGAACAGACTAGTTGGTTAGGTTGGATTGGGTTTTGGACCGAGTGATCAAATCATCTGGGCTGGTCTGGTCCAGTTTAAGTGAATTTTTTTTATTTTTTTAATAATTTCTAATTTACATGTTACTTTTATTTTTTTTAATATTTTTAGAAATTTTTATGTATTTTCACTTTGGGTCACCACTAGACTGGACCAAACTACAAATTGTCAAACCCAGTCTAAAAATCAGACTAAACTTCGGGTTAAGTTTTAGTCTGATCTAATGTGTCGATTGTGCAGCCCTGTATAGGAGTACATTCTATTATTAAGCATAATTAACCATATTTTTTCAGGCCTTTCCGTTCTCCTCTCAATCCTTAATTGCCTAAATTTCATTTGAAATCTTTCCGCTAAACCAAAAGGGTCGTAGCTTGATATAGTTTTCCCCTTTTTTGTTTTTTTTGTTTTTTGAAACAGTGTTACTCATTAAAGTTGACCATAGACAGTGCCGCTCTCTTAAAACTTTTTGCTGATGATGTACGCGCAATCAAAATTACACAGCAACATCCATATTTTATCGTATTTTAGTTTTATTTATTGAGCATGATATTTTAGTTATGGGAATAAAACATAAACATGTTAAATTTTAAAATTAAAATTACTAATTTACTATTAATTATTCATATTTTTAGAATTATTACTAGGAATCTATTTGGTATTGCTGAATAAATGAAATAAAGAAATTATTTGATTCAAGCATGGCTTCAATGCCTCTATTTGATTGAGAATAAGCCGTTGATTTGTTGATTTGTTGAGATGATAAGTAGTCTTATTTTTATAGAAAAAAGAATGTAAATTTAAATTTTGATAAACATACTGATAGAGAGAAATTTAATCTTAATGCTTTTGATCTGATAAAAATTAATTAAGCACCCAAAATGACTCAAAATACTCTGAATTATATAAAAAAAATATAGAAATTGCTTGATTATGACATTCATTATCTACGGTTTTTCATTATTGGCATTATTAAATGGAAAGCGCAAAGGAGAATAAACTAAGAAAAAGAACATATTACATAGCTTTTATTTTGCAAATTTCAGATAAACAATTTTTATTGACATAAAAAGATTCGAGTTTTAAGCTTCTATTATGCCACATCCCCTCTGACTAACGAAACATTTTTACTAGTTAAACTAGATTCTTTATAGCCAAGTTTTTATACTTTTTTCAAAAATATAGCTAATATATTTTAATATTTGAATGTTTTAATTTTTGTGAGGGGAAGGAATATAAATTTAAAGAAAAATGGGGAAAAAAGGAAGGGGCAATATGTCACGAAAAGCAGCGGGTTTTCCGGTGGAAAGGACGAGGACGCAGAAAGCTGTTCCTTTGACACGTAGGATTGTTGTGCACCGTAGGATGAGAGAATTGAGATGAGATAAAGGGTCCAGAATGGATTACTAATGGGGGAGAAAAGTTTTTGTCATGGAGTTAACAAGAAACAAGGCAGAGAGGGTTACAGATACAAAGGAAACGGCTCAGAAACTAGACACATCCAAAAGGAAAAAAAAAAAAACAAAACAAAACAAAGGAAAAGAAAAAGGAAAAGCTCAGAAACTGTGTGTGGCTGAGGAATCAGAAAGAGAAAGAGAATGGGAGGGTTTGATTTCGGGACTTAAATTAAGTTGAAGGAGCTGCAGCAGAGTTTGCAGAGAGGAACAGAAGGGTATGGCGGCGTCGCAGTCGCAGTCGCAGTTGCAGTTGCAGCTACACCTGTTTCCCTCTTTGTAATTTTCTTCTGTTTCTTCTTTTATTCTTTCTTTCTTTCAAGGCCCCATCATCATCAACGCTTCCCAACACCCGCCTCCTTAATTCCCTCTTCAATTCTATTCCTTGTCCTCCAACAAAATAATCAGGACCCTGTGGGGGGAGGAAGGGGGAAGAGAGAGAGCGCGCAAGGACGGTGCAACCAAAAAAAGTATGCTGGAGTTTCAACAGCATTTACAATAGGTTGTCCTTTTCTCACACCCCCGATTCGATCCAACCAATTGTTTTCGATTTGGGTTTTTTCCGCTCGTATATTTCATTCATCTAACCACAGAGTTCGAGCTCTCTGATATGGATTGTCACTCACAATTGAGTGGCGGGTCAGGCTTAGAGGTGGCAAATCAATGGCGGGTTTATTCTCACTAGGCGGTGGAGATAGAGGTAGAGGTAGAGGAACCAACCAACAACAAAACAAGAAGAAGCACAAGGGCATCATAACCCAACCACGGAATTCCCTCCGCCCGAGACCCTATACTGGTACAAGAACGAGGATGTGTCGTCGTACAGAGGGTTGGAGCTATGGAACCAGCAACAGGAGCAGTTCATGCCGGGAACAAGGCCATCGGAACAAGATGTGTACGGGGCGAGCAGGAGCTACGATGATCCGCCGTCCTCGTCGAGATCCTCAGGGATGATGACGACTATGAGAGGTCGAGGAGGAATAAGCTGCCAAGATTGCGGGAACAAAGCCAAGAAGGATTGCCCCCACATGAGGTGCAGGACTTGCTGTAAAAGCAGAGGCTTCCATTGCCAAACACACATCAAAAGCACTTGGGTTCCTGCTCCTAAGCGTCGCGAGCGCCAACAGCAACACCAACTCCAACTTCACCCGGACACTCTTCCCAGAAGACACCGCGAAACAGGTACATATCTTAGCATGCCCTTGTTTCTTTTTTGACTCCTGCGGAAAAGATGGTTGAGAGTGAGATGATGAGAAAGGTTTGGATGTATTATCCGCTTATTCTCCCCTACCATATCGGTTGCGTGTGAAACCAAATCTCATCTCAATCCACCCTATTCTTCATCTTTTTCTTTTTCCCTTTTCCCCAGCAGACACTGTTATTTAGTAGCCCTGACGAGTTGATTCACAGGGAAACTGTTGCTCCACTTTCTTCGATCATTCTCTCTGTCTCTCTCTCTCACTCTTTCTCATCCCTTTCTCAACCTGTGTTGTTGTGTTTTTTTTTCTTTCAATTTGTTGTCATTTAATAATCTTTCATATTCTGCTAACTAATCAACGGCTTTTACCTTTTGGTGGTTTTCTATGCAACAAAATTCTAAAAATGGCTTAGAGCACCGGGATTTTCTGCAGTGGTAAGCTCGCCTGCGGATTTCCGATGTGTGCGGGTGAACTCCATTGACGATGCGGACGAACAATTTGCATACCAAACGGCAGTGAACATAGGAGGGCATGTGTTCAAAGGAATTCTGTACGACCAGGGTCCTGAATATAACTACACAGCTGGAGATGTGAGCGCCCCCGCTGGCGTAGGTGGAGTTCAACCATTGAACCTCATTGCCGGTGCCGCCAGCGGTGCGTCTGTTTTACCCGCGAGCTCAATGGGTGGTGGGTGCCATGGTTCCGCCGGGGGGGCGCTTGGGGATCCTTCTTCTTTGTATCCAGCTCCACTTAACACCATCATGGCTGAAGGTATTGGTACGCAATTCTTCCCTCGAGATCTTCATAAATAGGAACATGAAAAAGGTTAATAGTGCATCCAGCTTCTTCTCGCTGTTGGATATTACTGTCGTTGTAAAATTTGACACCCGTATAAGTAGCAGGAGAGATAAAAAGAAAAAAGAGAATCAGGTCAAAATTAAGTAGAGAAAGTATTGTAGACCATTTTTTCAATGCAAATTTCAATGCTTGGTTCAGTTATATAATCCATCTACTTGTAATATGTGTGGTGAGTGTAAGTGCGTCACTCGTCTTTAGTTTTCTTCACGCCTTCTCGACTTGGAAGCTGCATTTTCCCCGTTATCCCTATGTGGAAGAAACCCACAGAGAAGTTTCCTCTTTTCATACTTGGTTATGGCCTCTCAACGATGTAGGAGCAGCTTTCAAGTTTAAAGGTGAAAATCTCTCCCCCTATTCCCATGTGAAATACTGTGGTTCCATTATTACTCAATAAAACTATGCAGACATAGATGTTACGTTCACTAAGAAACGGGAAAGATTGGTGATCAATTTGCTCAGTGCTAGCTATCTCATATTTAATTCACATGCAGCCAAGTATGCGTATATAGGGCAACACTGCATTATACCTGAGTAAAGTGTACAGCATATATATGGTATACACATTATCTCACACATACACACCCGCACTTCTGTGAGATTTTCTTGAACCTAGTCCAAGAAAAACTCCAGGTCAGAAAGAAAAGTCCAAGAAAACTATGCAGAAGTGGGAGGGGAAAGGCTTTTGCTACTTGTAAGATACCAGAAATTTCCCAAGCAAGTTGGCGCGGCTTGCATTCTCATCCTCATGTATAGTTCAGTACTTTATTCTCTGCGAGCAGTAATTTTTATGATACATATATGCGTGCGAAAATAAATTAATTGGCTTGGCACCCTTTCTTTTAACTTTTATAGACGTACAGAATCTGGTGATAACTTGCTAGCATAAAAGTGAAAGCTATGATATTGTGAACCACACAATATTTTGTGATAACTTGCTTTCATGTGTTTTTATTTATTTTTATTTTGGCTAAACTAATCAAATCATATATTCTGAAAACTACTTTAGAAATGAAAATGACCAGATATAATAGCACCATATGGGTCTGTGTGTGCGCGCGCCCTTTTCTTTGAACGCAGCTATTTATGCTACGGGGATAATGCTCTTGAATGTGGAGAGCATCATGGTACCTGCACTTGTATATGATATGACGGATGGCCAGCATGAATTTCTGACAGGAAAATGTTAAAAATTTCTTTTAGACATCCTTCTTGGTTTAGGGTGTGTTACCTTCCACTTGGTGCAAATCATTGGGGTTAGGTTTTATCTTCTGAGAAACATTCTAA